TAAGAAATATATATTTTAATCTAATTTTTATATTTTTATGTAATATCCTGTCTTTCTCAATTAGTTTCAAAAACAGCTAGTCCGACTTCACGCTCCAAGAGCGTCTAGTTTAAAGAAATGGCAACGCATGCTCATTCTTTAATTATCACCATCTACCCGAATTCGTGGAATGGTAGCTCTCAGAGATTTTTTTCTGGATGTTACATGTTAGAGAAAGTGAGGTTCTTTTGGCGAAGGTGTTGTAAAACCACATATGTTTTTCAATCGATGAGTACCTTTGTTAAGTTCAAATAGATTCTTCCCTAGGAAACAATGGTTGAAACTAGCGTTGTAAGTAATAGATAAAATATGAGCTGGAGACCTTTATGGACTTTATAAAACGGCTCGCCTGCGGCTCGCCGTTTTAAATGCCCATAAAGGTCTCCCGCTCATATTTTATCTATTACTTAAACTGATCTCTAATGATGAGCTTGCTGTTTGGTGCGCAGTCGGTGGGAATGGAGGAGTTTGCCACGAGATTAGCGTTAACCATGGCAACTGTGTCACATCGCACCGGGCACCAATCACATTGACTGCAAACGGTATTTGAATACTTACTTAATCCAATATTGTAGGCGAGGGTAGTYGCAGCCAAAATGMGATTATAATCTCGTTTATTGATCGAAGCTTTTGATGGTGTTAAGTGTAAAACGAATGACTTTTGCGTAGCTAAGGYCTAGTAAAAATGCCACAAGTCGAAAAAAATACTATTTGAACAATTCCTGTCTTTATTTTTGGTCTTTTTTCAACTTTGATGCTATGTCGAGATTGGTTGAGAGGCTACACTAAAAGCATAATTTTGACTACTCCGTATTTAGCTATCATATCTTATAATTGTTGTCATGAAATYTCATGAAAAGAGATATTTTATGAAAACATTAAAAGTTAATCTAACGCCATTGATTTTCGAATTCCCTACTTCTTATCAACTTATGGAAAAAATGAAAACAGGTATAGGTCAAAGACGATCGACATCTTCTCGAAAGTCAGTATTCTCTCGCTAGCGGCCGGAAATCTTACGATCTATAATTGTGGATCAAATGTAAAGATTATTAATTCCTCCTTTACTKTAGTAATCTATTTTTTTGTAGATTATTTAATTCACGACGTTTCGGGGTCATCGTGACTCCATTATCAAGTGATAAAAGTGAATGATAATTACAAATATATATAGGAACAAGATTAGCATAATGTAATGTTATGAAAAACARTTGTTAAATAAACAATGTCATTAAGTGACAGCGAATAGTTTGGCTTTTATCGAGTCACTTTGAACATTGAGAGTAGGTTTGAAGTCTCTCATGTAAAACATTTCATAAACCAAACAGTCAAATTTTGAATTACATTTCTTCAAAACTTTAAAATATTTACAGATGTCAACTGGTATGAAATGGTGGTCTTCGTATCAAAGAATCCCCTATTGTTCGGTGTCCATTTCGAGGCGTCAAACATCGAACAATGATCTTTTGTTTAAGTGATCARAGTGGTTTTGAATAATAAATCAAGTGCGTAGTTTCGGAAAAAACGAGTCTATGACGACGGACTAGCACGTCGTTCGGAAGTCGTTCGGAAGGTTTTTTTTTGGTACCCGGACTACCCCCCTGTGGCATTTGTCAACACAAATGCTGTGAATTTAATGAAGTGTTTTCCAATGCTTGAGCTTTTTAGCCTGTGTTCATTGCAGCGTTCGTGTAAATGTCTAAGGGTATAACCCACATAGCTTTATCACAAAAGCCACATTGAAATTTGTAAACGACACGCTGTTGGTTGACTAAAGATGGTTTTTGTTCTACATATTTTAAGTCGTCTGAGAGTTTTTGACTGACGAAAACAGGCTGGAATAGAGACATTTATTTTGCTACTGAGATATTTTAGATGCGTTATTTTATTTATAATTTTTTTTTTACAAAATCGAGATTAATAAAGCAGTTTGCTTTCAGATTCTCCTCTCTGCCGCGAGCAATATAGGTAAGTATATTACCAGYCATTAACCATTGTTATACGGTTATATTATCTTTTTGCTTTTTCTCGCTTTGTCATAGGACGTTTCATTGTCCCGCGACATAAGCTTAAATTAAATTTTGAACAAACAGTCAGCATTTTGGTAAATACTGTCCGTTTGGCATTAGGAATTAGCATACAGTATGTGAGAAAGATTTTGTTTTGGAATTGTGAGCACATTCCAAAAGCAGTTATGAATGTCACCAGCACTAGATATATATATACGCTTGTTTAATTAAAGTGCCCTCAAGCCAGTCTGCCATCACATTACGCAATATATACGATGTCATATTCGTGAAAAGCTCACCAGCGAAGGAGCCCTTGCTGAGTTTAATCTGCATTTTTGGGTATTTTTCTTTTCACTTCCGGCAGCTGAAAGATTTTGATTTTTGTTTAAGATATACCTGAACCTGTGGTAGTTCTTCCTTTGAACAAACAATTTGGTACACGAGACATGAGTAAGAATCCTCAGCCTACCATTGCAGGTGATGTATCTCTGACCACTGGACCATATGGTCAACCAGACGGTGCATACTATTTTCCAGGAAAGCCTTCAGGATATATTGAAATTCCAAAACAATCCAAGACAGACGTGAGGTGATCGTTTAACTTATTTTATTATATATAAAAAATAATTATCGATAATGCACAGAATTTTGTCATTTGCCGGGTAACAGTACTATGTCAACTATTTCYCTTGACTTTCGACATTTGTATTTTGTCATTTATTGTTTCTTTACTCATTTTTGGTCAACCTCGTTCCCAGCCCCTTATCGCCCCTTCGCTTGGTTTCAGGCAGGAAAAGGCCCTGGAATCGGCTCGACAAAAARCCTAAAATTCTGGGTGYAATAAAATATCATAACATTACAAATCCATCGACACTATTTATTTCGAGTGCGTAGTAACGCTTTGAATTGCACTTAACAACAAGTATTTTCGTTGTAGAATCGTACATGTTAAACTACTACAAAAGAAGTATTCGGAGTATATTCTCAAGGATATACAACGAAATGAAAATCATTTGAACTGTTCTAACTACAAAACATAGAAATTTCCGTTGTATTTTTAAGCTATGGAGTCCTGCWTGTCTTAAAATCTGTCTCCTTCTGAAATCTTTCGCAATCGTCATTTGGATAAATTATAGATTATAAAAACAAAACTTTCACTCAGTGAATCAAATAAGAGATGTCGCTAGCCGATGCCAGGGCCTTTTCCCACCCTACCCCAAACGGAGGAATAATGGTTTACTTTTATTTTGGCAGGTTCAATGTGTCATTTTTCACTTGGATCTATAACCAAGGCACATATGCACCAATATTAAACTATGAAACTGACGTTTATGCTCAGTATGGTCTTCACGTCTTTGTAAAAGATAATTCTGTATTCTATGGCAAATTGGTTACTCGAGATAACACTAAAGACGTAAATGCTGTTGAGGAAAATATTGCAAAAGATGCATGGACATTTGTTGGGTTTACCCATGACTACAGCGTTGGAAAAGTGAGAATTTATATTGATGGGGTACTTAAAAAGGAGGTTGCATCGCCCAAGCACGAGCTGAACACAAAATTTAAGGTATTGCCTTTTATTAGAACACGAGTTTGTTCGAGCCGATTGATATGGGTCATGCATTTCAGTTGTGAACATATTGTGAAGATAATGTTTTTTAAAAAAATAAGTATAGTTTACAACATGAGCGMCGGGGTTTTATGGGAATTACAATCTCGAGCCGCAGGCGAGAGATTTTATTTCCCATAYAACACGGACGCGAATGTTGTAAACGACTTATAAAACTCCAACACWAATTAACATGAATTACAGTGAGATAAATGACGAAAAATGACAATTAAGGTAACTGCTGAGTTTAGTCGCGATTAASCATGCGCAATTTACTGCAACACAGAACATTTTGAATAATTATCCATCCCACATGGAAAGCAAGCCATCTGTTGCATAAGCAAGTTCTGTTATCCGTSTTTGATTGCTTCAAAGGTCTRTGATGCGATAAAACTGAGACCTTTGCTAGYGTTGGGCTGTCTCAAGGTGACGACCGTGTTGTAAATTTTATGCAACACTAGTGTTGTATCACAGTGTTGTATCAGATTTACAAGGTAAATCACCTGATTAAATGGACAGCCCTTATTGTAGTAATAGTTCATGCATTATTAATAAGTTTTATAATATGATATACAAAACAATA